CCGTCGGCTTCAAATCCAACTCGTCCAGCCGTCGATGAGGGCAGCTGGCAAAATACACACTTTGACATGATAGTTCCTCTTTACATATTCTTCGCTAGCCAAGGAACTATTGTTTCGGACCACCCCTCCGTTGGTAGAGTCGTCAATAAGTCGTCACTGACAAACCGTGCGATTCGGACGACGACTTTATATATTATTTATCGTCACATTGATTGATTTCATAAAAAAAATACCAGAAAATAATTAATATAGATAATCCGCAATGTCACCACTACATTTGTTATTACTAGACTAGTCAGCTACATAAATGTAGGCATATTTCATCTCCACCAGTTGCCATGGCGCTCAAATCATAGTTGTAGTGTCATCTGGCGATCATGTGCCTTACTGTGGAAACTTAGAGTGGATATGTCTGATGGGATTATGTACTCATATACTACTATATGATATTGTAGTTCAGACAAGCCGCGTGTTTTTATTTGTTGTCACTAGTGCCCACTATTAAAAACTGCATATAGCATATACTTGCACTTATTTACAATTCGGGTTTGTACGTGTACAACTATACTTTTTCTCAAAGCTTGGAGATAGGAGAACACCAAGTGGCGAATCTAGGGGGGGGTCTTGGGGTCCGGACCCCCTGTTGAAAAAATAATCAATTTGTTTTTGTATAATCTAAACAAATCGTTAACTTAGTCTGGCGATTTTAAAGTTTGGACCCCCCCCCCCATAACAAAATCTTGTATCCGCCCCTGACACCGTGCGTTTGATGAAACTTGCAGATTATGATGTTTATAGCCTCGATTTCAGTAATGACCTAAAACTGAAACTAATCTTGCATTAGTAATGTGAAGCGCCACCGGTGTTGACAAACGTGTATAACAATTTTAGCTACGGCGGGACACGTAAACAAGGCGATATTTCCCCCAACCAATTTTATCCACCGTACGTAGACACTCGGCGTTGTAGTTCTACAATAAATTGTATGTTTAAAAACTCGAAAGTAATAGCCTTTCAATAGCCTTTGTTTTTAATGGCTGCGCGAAATAAACAAAAATCATAAAAACAAGCGATCAGACAAAACGGAAATTTTTTGTTTGAGGGCAGTGTACCAATGTCTGTGTGTCACACAACAAGTAAAGATGGAGACTGGTTTAGAAAATGTATCAGTCTCACCAACGTGCAAAACAATCGTGTTGCACCCGATTTCGAGCCACGCCTTCAATCTTGATTCATTCACGACAGACACGGGCAAGGGGGAATACCAAACCGTGAAATTAGATGCGGCAACCACCGCTACCTTTCTCGATAACATACCGGTCGGCGTTTCTGTGCAGGATGTTGCCTCGATTGTGGACCCGTCGAGGTAGGCCAAATGTGTTTCAACGATCCGATCACGTCCCGTACCCCGATCACAGTGTAAAAATATATGTATTATTCATCCCAGAAATTGAGGTTGCACTGTAGCCCTTGTCCATGAACACCGCCATTGAAACTCGATAGATTTTAATTTCGACAATGAATGATTCCCATGATTCAAACGATTCCGAGGTCACCAGGAGCTCACCAAATCATCTAACAACCGCAACATCCCCCATCACCAACATTATCAATCAGTCTGTGCTCCAGATACATAATATTTTGGTAAAATCCCTTGTGTGTCTTCAGCCTTAATACATTGTGTCAATATAGTGCATTTCAATTCTTTGTTGTAAATATACCATATAAATTATGATTCTTAATTAATTGTTCAATTACAATTGATAATACAAGGTTCTTATGAGAATATTGCAAATTGTGCACAAAGACAGTACATCTCGAATACCCACCAACCTGTAGTGGAAGTCAATGTGACCTTATACCGTTACTGTGCTTATATGCTTTGCCTATTGGAATAGCCTTATTATTGTGCATCTTTCTGTGCTGGATCATTAAAACAGGACTTACAGTAGTTTCACCATGGACTAACCTTCGACAATTAAAAAAGAAAATGTGCTACTAAAAGACCTTAATAGAGCAAATACGGTTGTATGCAGATAGATGTACCTTATGCAGTACTGCGAAATAACTGCATGCTTTAACTTTATATGGGGGTTAAGGGACAACATCAAAAGTTCAATGTAGGATAAAAAACTTAATTCCTTTAGTTTTTTTCCAACCCCCCCCCCCCCACTGAAACTTAATTGATAATATTGATCATGGCGTCAGACTACATTCACCATTAATACAAATTTGATAACCGGACAGGAGTATTGCGTAGCAGTTGGTTGTCCGGTGGGTGTAAAAAGATTTTACAAATGAACCAATAACAAAGAAAAACAAGCTTTATTTGTACCTTACTTTTAAGAAGTACATTTAATTTACAAAGGTAGGACCTCATTTGACGCACATATTTACACTCAGACCAAACCATTTTCTCGCCTTGGATGTTTTTTTTTTCATTTTCTGTTATTTTTGTCCATGATTGGAGAGAAAAAAAAACGAACTACAAATACTCCAAGATTTTTGTTGACTTCATTAAAAAATAAAATTGTTTTTGTTAGATGGAAACTTTTTGAGGTCAAAACCCCCCACCCCCAAACTAAAGCAAATAAGTTTTTTATCCGACATCGATCTTTTGACGTCATCCCTAAGAGAACAGAGGTATAATAAAATGACAGTACGCCATCAGACAGTATGTCGTCGCATCGACCTCCACTGCGCGTCGGTCGTCACTCCGCTGTACTGTCTTCATGCATACTTTGAGGTATTTTCGTAATAACCTCATATTATTATACATCTTTTCATTCAAAGGATACATCATGGGAATGCCGAAATTCAAAAAAGTTTAGAACAGAATCAATGAACTTCCTTGTGTGGAGTCCAATCAATCCCTGGTGGCAGCCATGTGTTTTTTTTATTATTAGAGGACGCTTACGCGCATAATCATTCCATATTTGGAATTCGCATTTCCTCATATAGTAGGATGAAAATACCCTGTGAAATTCCGCAAAATCACTGCACGCTGTAACTTATGGCGTTACGGTGGCAGATGTATAATAATAATGTTTATTACTCAGATTTATAATAACATATCACCTGCTAAAATCCGCAGCAGGCAATGCGATAAGATAAGGATATGTCACTGAGGATATGATATTGGATGAAGAACCCATACTTCATGGGTTCTATTGCACAGATCATTCAAATTTTTACTGGCCGGTGTCGTCCCAGAATGCAGTCGAGTTTTGGAAAAGTTTGATTGTGGAGAGAAATCAGCGAGGTTATCACCTCATTCAAATACATGCAAGAATAAACATTAATCATTTCATTCTCCGATTTCTGGAAATATATGTACAGTGTAATGTCTTGCAGTTTTGTGAATATCTCACAATTCGTGTGACTTCATATTGGATTTTCATCGCATATCAGAGAAATTGCATTGCCTTTTATATCAATTGCTGGTGTTTCCAGTAATGGTGTCATAAATTATTAAATACCTGTCCTATATTTTGTTAGCCCACTATACCGGTAAAGTTTTTTTCTTTTATTTTAATTATTTTTAATTCCCTCTTCTCTAATTCTCCAGACTAGTATGTATGACTTCAGCTGACACGGTGGGTACAGCCACCGACAGTTTACCGGAATCGACCACTGTTACAGTATGCGATGCAAATACATCAAGTGCGGATGCTTTGAACACTGTGAATGCAGACGCTATAAATAGTGTTGTAACATACAGGGTTACGTCTATGACTCATGGCCTGGCAGCGGCCACTGCCACTGAGGGCCTCAGTGCTGTCAGTCACGCCGATGGTACTATGTCTTACAGCGTTGGTGATCAAACTGACAATACAGATTTACATACTACAGGTATGTTGGTTTGTAATTTGTAATTTGTTTTAGATGATGTCACACTCCATTCTGTACAGGTTTATTTGTTCAAAGGCATTATTTCTGATGGTATCACACATTGTCTTATGTAGGTTTTTCAGGATGTGGAATTCATACTTTCCATGTTTTTGTTAACTCAATTACAAGATTGTACCGATGTAATCATAAAACATTGTACAGCACAATACTGAGGATCAAAGGAGGACATCGTATGCAGACGATGACAAAACATGATGTAACGCTTAGTGATGTCATCTGACTTAATGAATAATTAATCACATGATGTAATGCTTAGTGATGTCATCTGACTTCATGAATAATTAATCACATGATGTAATGCTTAGTGATGTCATCTGACTTCATGAATAATTAATCACATGATGTAATGCTTAGTGATGTCATCTGACTTCATGAATAATTAATCACATGATGTAATGCTTAGTGATGTCATCTGACTTCATGAATAAATAATCACATGATGAAATGCTTAGTGATGTCATCTGACTTCATGAATAATTAATCACATGATGTAATGCTTAGTGATGTCATCTGACTTCATGAATAATTAATCACATGATGTAATGCTTAGTGATGTCATCTGACTACATGAATAATTAATCACATGGTGTAATGCTAAAGTGATGTCATCTGACTTCGTGAATAATTAATCACATGATGTAATGCTTAGTGATGTCATCTGACTTCATGAATAATTAATCACATGATGTAATGCTTAGTGATGTCATCTGACTTCATGAATAATTAATCACATGATGTAATGCTAAAGTGATGTCATCTGACTTCATGAATAATTAATCACATGATGTAATGCTTAGTGATGTCATCTGACATGACATGACATATATGATTTATTTCACCAATAATAACAATTCTAGTAATCTTATATTAATAATAAATATTAATAATAAATAATAATAATAATAATAATTTCTTGGTGTGGACTAGTTCATCCGAACTAATCTAGTCTGTGGCCCAATCCTAACCAATATACATTTCTATGCAGGCTATATATATATATATATATATATATATATATGTATATATACGTACACACACATACATACATACACATACAAACAAAAAACAAAATCTCCAGAAATAAATAAGTAAAAATATAATAATGAAAAAAAAAAAAATGAAAAAAAAAATGAGAAAAAAAAAATGGAGCTGTTAATGTGCTACTCTGCACATCATATTATTAGTGGAACAATCGTGGGCAAGTACAAATAAAGTTTAGCTGCAAATAATACTTCTATCATACATATGATAAAGCTAGTATTTAAATATTAAGGATGCTGTACACGTTTTTGGTATTGATTTTCTAAACTGATATTTTCATATAAAATATTTACTGAACCACACAAAGCTATATATTGATGGAAAGCTTATTTCACACTGAATATGAAATCGACAAGATAGTGTGTGTATGGACGTGTATAGTCACGTGATCTCTGTGTAAACACAGAAAGCCATTTTCGGTAAAAAAATAATTGAACCAATGAATAAACAAATTTAGTGGAACATTGGCAACAAAACAGTTTTTCAGACGACGCTCACCACCATTCCGTGTTAATTGAGATATATATCTACATGATAGTTGGAGAATGAAATAATAATTTAGCTATCTTGAAAAAACAATGCGATCTGGTTCTTTCCGGTATTCAGAAATTAGAGTGTAATTTCGAAACATATAGGAAAATAGAAAAATCCCAGCGCGGCTTGAGAGGGAACATATCGAGTGTCTGTGCGAAAATTAGTATAATGCGTCCACTAGAACTTGAGATCAAAGGCCTGCAGTTGCCGTGAATCGCTGTTTTGTTTAACCGAGAAAATGGCAAAAACAACTTAGCAGCAACGTATCGTCGGCTAACTCAAAATCCGTTTGTCCCATGGATCAAAACAAACTCATAATGAATAGTCATGGTATCTGTCTGTCATAATCACGCAGATGTGTGGATATGCGTGGTCGCAATTGGTTATAAAGTACGAAATTATGCTCCCGAATCCAATAGGAAACACTGTTTCACGGCGTGACAAAGCCGCGCCAAAATGACGTCATGATTTACATATTCATTAATACGTTGTGGGAGGAGACACTCCTTTTCTGGAAGACTCATTACCATACATTGCCCTCCATGGAAGGTCATTCTCTTGCTCAGCTGCTGAACCAATAAGTGGCTGAACGCACCACCAGAGTCAACTACATGTGCATGGAGTGTAATTTAATCATACTCAATGGTCGCACAATTGGAGACTCTGTTGGCAAATATACATGTTACACACCAAATGGTTGCAGCGCTATTGACTTTGGGATTATTTCAAAACATTTTTATAACTCTGTACAATACTTCAAAGTTCATGAGCTATCTAATATTTCGGATCACTGCCCTATCTCTTTGTCTTTAGCCATAAACCAAATCATCTATAATGCCCTGAAAAAAAATAATAACAAAAATAAATTGGATCCATTACCAGCAAAATATATTTGGGATGTGGATACAAAAAATAAATTCTTGGCCTCTCTGCATTACAGTGAAAAAAATGAAATTACGGAATTTCTCCTAAAACAATATAACAATGATTCAGAAACAGCTTCTTCAGATTTTGAAAAAATCATATTATCTCTCACAGACCAAAATGTTAAAAAAATCACTCCAAAGTGTTTTAAAAAGAAAAACAAAACAATACTAAAAAAGAAAAAATGGTTTGATAATGATTGCTGGTTGCTTCGCGTAGAATTAAAAAATATTTCAAAATTACTGCAGAAACATCCACTAGACCCGATTATTCGTGGTAGATACTTCAAAACAAAAAAGCAATTCAAAAATTTAGTCAGAAAAAGAAACATGCCCTAAACAGTTAAACTGATGAGCTTGAAAATCAAAAGTGATACATCTAAATTTTGGAAAATACTGAATGATTTAAACAATGACAGTATAACACATTCAGATAATGAACCTA